TGAGCTTAAATCACCACGTGCCCATTTTTAACTGCACAGTCACGAGGTGGGGGGGTCGAGACTGGACATAAATGTAACCACACGCGGCCATCAGTCTGTGTGTGTGGGGTGCAGCATTGCCAGCGGTATGGCACTCAGCACCGTTCATTTACAGTTACTCAGGTGTCCGAACAACAAAAAGAGAAAGACCTCCCCTCCTCGTGACTGTGCAGTTAAAAATGGGCACGTGGTGATTTAAGCTCATGCTTAAGTTGTGGTAAAAAGCATCCAAGCACTTCTTTAATGAACGACTATAAATACACAGCAGCGGGTTTTACCGGAGAGCTTCCTGTCTGCCTCCTCTCCCTGGGTGAGTGTGTGTGTTCGTCTCTTTAAAAACGGCTAACTACGCTCTGCTAGAGGAAACGCGGGTTATGTGGAATCGATTATCAACTTTCATATAGATTTTATTTCCATAATATATTTATATAGTTTTTTTTTTTTTTCTCCTTTCTCTCACACACCCACTTTCACATTCTCTCGTCTCACTACTTTTATTCAACGTACACAACGTAATAGACATTGGGGGGGGGGTCGAGTGGGGCGCAACAGAGCTGAAATGACAATCACTGAGAAAAGAAAATAATAATAATAATAATAAAACAAAGCCAAAAAGAACTGCAGTCTTTTTTGTCATCCCATTGGCAGTTGGGCCGACTCAGCAAGTCGGCCACGATCAATGGTGGTTTGAGGGGAGGGAGGGGCCATGACATCAAAGGGGCGCCGCGGGGGGCTCTTTCTTCGCCGGCGCCGCTTTAGCTGTGGTTTTCGTCGTCCTGGTGGCCGGGGTCAGCTCCTTGAGGTTGAGGTTCTCCAGTGCCACGTCCAAGGTCATGACCTCGACGCAGCCCATGGCCTCGAAGTCGGCGAAGTTCCGCAACGGGCCGTGACAGTCGTCCTCGTCCTCCGACGAGGAGGCCGAGGCGTCCTCGTCGGGCAGCAGCGTGGACAGCAGCAGCTCCGTCACGAACAGGCTCCTATCGGCCCACTGGGCCTCGCACGCCTGCCGCTCCGCCTCCGACAGCCGCGGTTCGCTCAGCCTGAGGGGGACAGATTGAACAGCGTTGAGACGAAGCAGACAGGGCCGTGTGACATAGAAGTGCTCTGCAGAGCGAGGGTCAATCATCCGAGGGACTTTCAAGTAAAGACATTTAGAGTAGATGCAGAAAAGGAGTCCCTACCTGCTGAGTAGAAACTGGGAGCTATGTGCACTTTGCTGCGTGTTGGATTCAGACGGACCCGGGTTGGGACTGGGGTTGGTATTGTGGTTGGCGCTGGAGTTGGGGTTGGCGCCGGCTGAATTGGAGTTGAGGATTGCGTTGGCTCGGCCGCCGCCCCGGGTGGCGTTCCGGGCCGTCTCCAGCTGCTGCCGCGCCGCCTGGGCCTGCTGGCGCTCCAACTGGAGCTGCATCTGGAGCTGTTGGAGCTGGGAGGCTGACGGGCCCGAGCTGAGCTGTCCGCCCGCCGAACGCCGCACCCCCGACAACTGGGACAGAAGCTCTGGGGGAGAGAAGATGGAGGAGACGAGGGCTTAGTGTCAGAAACCAAGATTACAACGAGGAGCAACAGACTCACTTCAGTCCTGTACTTACCGATACAACACTAACACAACGTTTTTAAGAATTTGCTTTGTCAATTTACTGCAAGAAGTAAATATGGAAGATTGGTCAAATTGTTTATCCCTAAACACTAACATCTATGAGGTACACAGTCAGAGACCAGCCCGCTGTGTAGCCTCTGATCCACAGTCAGAAGGTGCAGCAGCACGATTCAAAAGACCCGATATGTTCAGCACGATAAGACCCTCGGCGGTGAGACTATTAGGCCGAAACCTGACCGGTCCGGGTCGGCGGCCCAGCAGGTGTAGTGGCTCATTAGGGAGGACTGAACGGGGACCCTCATTACGGCACAGCTGGAGCTGATACGGCAAATGCCAAGCATTGAACCGGATTCAAACAGGGATAAACAAGGTATTGCCACGGCAACTCAGCCCACACGTTACTGTATTATCCAGACTGGCTTCACAACTAGGCCTGCTGCAGGGAATGCATCTGTATGTGTGAGAAGCTTTGTATATTAGGGCTTATTGATTTAGTACCGAGCGCTGGTGTTGCGTGTGTCGGACCTCCTGCTGTTGTAGCAGTGAGAATACTGTCTGTACCGTCTGACCTACATCAGGTTCCTCAACAGGAGGCTGTACGATACAGGTCTACATGGGTCTACTGAGTCACTACGACTTCTCCACCTGTGTGTGTGTGTGTGTGTGTGTGTGTGTGTGTGTGTGTGTGTGTGT